AAATTCTACTATTAACTGGATAGTAGTTCCTGCTATTGGCTCTGTCTTGTTATAGGTCCATGTCAGATGATAGTTTCTCCTGTAATACAAATCTAACAAGATACATCATGTAAAATAAAATACTATTCACATGCACTTACACTCTTTTCTGCATACCTCTCCCATTAGAATCAGTACATGATAAAATGTAGAGTCAGTTTTAAGGTCAGTTGTAAAATGTGATATTATTTCTTTACCCAAACCATCCCTAATACCGTAGGGTGCCTTTTTTTGAGGGCTATAAATTTTGCGGATTTTGTGATTTTTTTAAAGATTTGCAAAAATTACTTTCGCAAAAATCAAATTAATACAGTGCAAGATGGCAGACGGCATAAATTTGTGAAAATTAAATCCGCAAAATAAAAATCCAGAGAATTTATAGCCCTCGAAAAAAAGGCACCCTACGGTACATAACAGGGTCATTTACCTAATGTACATGTATTTGCAATGAATGATGCATTTTATTTGTATTGGTCCTACAGTGTACTCCAGCTCAATTGTTGGTATGTTCTTGTAGAGTCTAATAACCTAACACTGTATGTTATAATATTATGTGCAATATATGATACTAACTTGAGTTAAGACACCCATGATGAGAATACTTGTCTAACCTCAGCAGGAGTGTAGCTGGGAAGGAAATGATGAGGGGGCCCAGAGGCAAGTGGCACGCAAAGCGTGCTGAAATTTTGAACACACCCTTTTTGGTGCTTGTATAGTGTACCAAAATAGATTATTTTCATTTTGCATATTTTAAAGTATCAAATTCTTACATTTTCAACAATTATTAATATAAAACGATTGTTTTGTTTTTGCCTCATTGCTGCTGTGCAATGTATTGTAAATGATTATTACGGAGTGGTTCACTTTATTACCAGGTGGTAGGTAATAAAATAAACAATGAATATCATTATCAATAAAAATTATGGGGGCCCAAGCTCCTGTAGGTCCCCCTCAGATATCCCACTGAACCTCAGACAATGACTCACCCTATAAAATTATTTTTTCTAAACACCATTTTTGACATTTTACATTGCTTTACTGTAACAGGATGTAATTTCAGCATAATCATCACCACTGTCAACAGGAAATGTCATTGAACTGTTGGGACGAAATATATATGCATTTGAATTCTATAAAAAAGAGGCATCATGTAACAATTATAGAATCATTAACTACCTGTGTATCAATGTTATTCCCAGTGCTAGCATTATACCAGTAGAATTGCTGATCCATGTTGACACTACTAGTATGTATACAGAATGTCCTAGAGAGAGGGAACTTACAGGAAGTGGGCATGCCTTTACAAAATTATATATATAGTATACTGGGGTTTCGCCCCAGTATACTAATACACAGCTTTATCTACAGATATCAAGCATAAATACGACAATCAGCACTGTTTATGCAGCAGGGTCGTGGTGGTGCAGTGGAGAGGTTGGTGTGGATTGCGCAGATGTGGTCAGCGGCCCGGGTTTGAATCCTGTCAAGACTGCTGCTCAAAACCATGCTGCAGTGTATGATTTTTTTTTCTTTTTTATAAATAACCTTTTTTGCTATTTTTTGGCTTTTTGGGTCAAGAAATAAACACCCTCTCGTACATCTTAGCCTCCGGGGTCGTAGGGTTGGGATTGGGGTTTAGTGTTTAGTTTTTAGAGCACCCTCTCGTACTTACATTACCATCATTATCTGCATTACCATCATTACCTACATGACTTTTAATTTATATAATTTTGTAAAGGCACGCCCACTTCCAGTAAGTTCCCTCTCTCTCTCTCTCTCTAGGACATTCTGTATAGGTATATATACTAGATACAGTGCTTGATTTAATGTGACCAGACTCTCCATCAAACTCAACCTCATAATACTGTGTACTAATAGCATGATAGTAACATTATATATATATATATATATATATATATATACATTAATTACCTTTTTACTCAGACAGAATAGTAAAGCAAGCCTATGCTAGATCTACAACTTTTCATCACTCCGGCTCCGCCCTTCTGCTGATTTCCATGTGGTTTTTGTATACTGCCGGACACGGTGTTTGGATTTTTTCAATTTGTCCGCTCAAAACACGGAAGCTTCGCTTTCTCTTACCTAGTCGCCTCGTAATGAAACTTGGAGCTATTCTGGTGATAGTAACCTTTCTTTTGACAAGAATACGTCATGGATTAGCAGCATGCACTAGTGGTTCTATTAGACTCGTGGGTGGCACTAGTACCAGTGAGGGACGTGTTGAAGTATGCAGTAGTGCTGGTGCATGGGGAACGGTTTGTGATGACTACTGGGATAACACTGATGCAAGTGTTGCCTGTCGTCAGTTAGGATATGAATCAGGTATGCTTTATCATCATGTTAATACACATTTACATGAATCTACAAGCATTACAATTGAAGTT